GTCACATACTGTATATTGCATTATAGCTGATAAAAGTACTGCACTATTTTTAGATCAACATGTTTAAATTGTTAATTTTACAATTTGCTATTTAGGCATGGTATGCACCGCCCTAAATGTATTACTATAATTTTAATGATCACTTGTAAACGTGGTGTAAGTAATGACATCCAGATGAAGGAAGTCTACAAGAATGATGCTAATACTATAGTTGATGTGCAGTACGGATATTACTTCACAGAATTCCTTAATGTGTGTGGCAAATTCGGAAACTTAGCTTTTTTGTCCATGTACAGTGTTCGGATCACATGCAGTTAAAAACTACATTCTGTGAAGGAGACACTGACACCTAATAAAAACAATTGGCGACGACATCGATTTCCAGAACCAAGCCCTCAAAATGTACTCCTTTTTCACCAACAGAGGATACCATAGCAGTGTTACTGACAGGGCCCTTGCCCGAGCCAAAAACACCCCTCGGACCATCAACTCAATCAGGAACCCCCGCCATAACAACTGCATTCCTTTGGTGCTTCCCTACCACCCCAACACACGTCCTATCCCCAGGGCTATTAACTACAACTTTTCCATCCTACAGGATGATCCCTCCATTGGGGCCCTCTTTTCTGACTGCCCCATCATCTCATATCACCGACCACCTAATCTGCGTAACCTTCTTGTTCACAGCTCCCTTGAGTGCCCTTAGCAATCATCAACACCAGGCACTTTCCCTTGCAACGGAGCTGGCTATATCACCTGCAAGTACACATCTACCACCACACTCATTCAAGGCCCCTCAGGACAATTCCAGATCACTCCAGATGGCATCTTGTACCTCCAGCAACCTTATTTGCTGTATCTCTTGCAGTAAATGCCCAGCCATCTACATTGGAGAAGCAGGAAGGAGACTCGGAAACCGCTTCAAGAGCATGTTAGGGCTGTGAAGATTAAAGATCTCTCCAAGCCCATTGTTTCTCATTTCACCTCTGACGGCCACGACCATTCTAATCTTTCCGTCTGTGTTCTCAAAGATGGTTTTCTGAACTCATACATCAGAAAGACTACAGAAACCAAAATTATCCTGCAGCTAGGATCACACCTTCCCCCTTTTCTTAACGACAGACTACTTTTCTTCTAAATTCTCTCTATTCATTGTGGGTTTCATTTCATACCTCTCTTCACCTATCCTGACTTCACACCTCTTGATTGGCCTCTCTTTCTGTCCCCTGCTCCCGCCCCTTGCTCCTCCTCTCTCCCAGCTTTTGTTCTCCTGCTACATTACCTTTGCTTACTGCCCTGTCTTTCTCACACCTGAAGAAGGCTCCATAGCTGAAATGTTGTGTTTTCTTTCTTCAGCATGGAATAAACCTATTACTTGTTCCTAATAAAAACCAATGCTGACATCTTTTTATACAGTACATACAAAAATATTCAAAAAGGTATCTTTAATTCAAAGTGGTGACAAAAATGATCAGGGGTCTTATTATCTGGTTTACCCCTCTTAATAGGACTTTTTATTGCTTCTTAGTATGTAAAATGAAAAAGTAAGTAAAATGATTCAGAAAATGCTATCAACAATATCTTCTCTTCACCTCATAAAGGGGTACCAATTTGACATTTCTAGGACATTTACACTTCAGTTCAGGACCAGATCTGTTTGACAAGGTCACCCTTGACAAGGCAAAATGGCAACACACCTGTTGTTTGTGTTCTAGCCAAGTCTTCAGTTACTCAATCAAACCCTTCACTGACTTGCTAATAATAAGATTAATCTGAACTGTTTGTTCCCAGCTCTTAAACATGTTGGAGATTTATCCATTGTATTTTTTAAGAGAAATATAATCCAAAACCAGTGACAAGAAACAAAATGCAAATATACAGTACCAATGTAGCAACTTCTTAGATCCCTGAAGGCTTCAATTATCTTACTAAGGTGGCTTGGAATGAAAACCAGCAGGTGTGTGGGTCACCAGGCCCAGTATTGGGAACCAATGTCTTAGTGGATTTTCGACTGAAATAATATGCCGCTGAAAGGGCCAGTTATTAATAATAGTATAGCAGTGAATTAAAGCATGTATTTATTGCTTGTTCTGTCCATAAAATATCATTTATGTTTCAATACAATGTAAGTGCAATACAACGTATGCAAGTCATGTAAGAAAGTAAGAAGAGTAAGCTGCAGAATACAGGTAGATGTTTGTTACATAAACAAAGTGAGTGAGCAAAAGCAGGGCTGGAACTGAATTGTGATTTGTCATCTAAGAGCACTACAAAGTCAAATGACATGTACATGAGCAACACGTATTAGTATAATACTCTCAAAGCAGCTCTGGGTTTCAAATGATTAGAAAATCCTCATAATTCTAACAACCTGGGTTTACTGAAAAGAAAATGACAGAGGAAATTTTACACACCTTTCCAACTTTGCTCAATCCCTCTGCACCAATTAATCCAGTTAAAGGATAATGTTAACTGGTGTCTACAGCCAAGGTGACCTTCATTTTTATTAAATTGAAAGACAGGGAAGAAGGGAAAATAAACTGAGAGCATGTGTTCTGCATAATGTGATTTGGAGAACTTCCACATGAAAAAGAAAAGGTAGAAACAACTGAGCATGCCCTCATAAGGATAAATACATTAAGACCCTGAAAACCTAAAACCACTATACTGTGTAAAACTCAAGACTAAGAGATGAAATAATAAAGTGTGTGCAGGAACTGATTTTAATTCTCAAATGTGTATTTGAATATGGGTAAAGACAGATTTGGGGTTTCAACTCACAAAGATTAATCACTGTAGTCTTATTATCATGCTATCAGAAACCAGAGATGAAACAGAACCATTGTACTCAATTAGGTGTTTACTGATGATGATGATGATGATGATGATAACGCACAACACATTTTCAAGATATGGCTCTATTGTCTGAGAGAAGACAGACAATGTTGTAGCACAGTAGAACCTTGGGTAGTCTATGGTAACTGTAAGGAGAATGCAATGCTGAAAAGAAGAAAATGTTTTATTACTAATCTCAGAAGAACAGTGACATTCACACTAAATCTTTGTTGAGTCTATTAAAAATTGATTACTCACTGTGAACATTCCACAATGAAATTATCACAAACAGCAGAGGATTATTAGACATCAGTGTGGACTGTACACTAGGATGAAACTGTTTCTGAAACTGAGAGTTATAAAGATTTATGAATGCTTCATTGGCAGCTATTATGTGAAATTGTACTCTGCCAATTATTATCCAACAAGTTCAGTTGTGGAGGCCAGTGTTTCCTAGTATTGGTACTGTATACCAGTTTGTCTTTTCTCTGGGTTGGGAGTGGTTGCAGAACATTAAGTAGGGTAACTTAATGTTCTCTTCTCTTAGTAGACAGACTATTTTTCTTCTAAATTCTCTTTATATAATGTAGGTTTCATTTCACACTTCTCTTCACCTATCCTGACTTCACACCTCTTGATTGGCCTCTCTTTCTGTGCCCTGCTCCCGCCTTTCGCTCCTCCTCTCTACCAGCTTTTGTTCTCCCGCTACATTGCCTTTGCATACAGCTCTGTCTTTCTCACACCTGAAAAAGGCCCCACGGCCAAAACATTGTGTTTTCTTTCTTCTCTTTTCAGCATGGAATAAACCTATTACTTGCTCCTTTATAACCTCCTGATGGCTAGCATTTGCTATTAGTATACTTTACTAGCAAAATGCTTTAAATGCATAGCCTACATTTCCATCCTTTTATTTTCTGCTTTATCCAATAGAGGGTCACAGCAGAGTTAGAGCCTATCCCAGTGGGCAATGGGTGCAAGGCAGGGTACACCCAGGAAAGCAGTCCACTGCAGGGCAGACACAAACACAAACAAAGACTTACACATACTCACACCAGGGCCAGTTTTCTCAGAAGCCACTTAACCTACCAGTATCTCTTTGGACGGTGGGACGAAACCAGAGCGCGTGGGACAAACCCACTAGAACACAAGGAGAACAAACAAACTCCAAGCAGACAAACCCCACGTGCAGCACTAAACCCAGGGCTGCACCAAAGGTACCACTGCTGACCATTATGCCACCATGCCGCTCCAGCTTATATTTATTAAAATTTAATTTTCACTTTTGCTAGTTTACTAAAATGTTCTTTTGTGTCACAAATCAGCTAAAAACACTTTCTCTCTAGACAGTGTCATAAGTAAAGAGAGAGACGAGCTCAACAAATGCAAAGCTGTTGTTTTTCCCTACAATCATCACACTTAAGGAAGCCAGTCTCTCAAAGTGAATGATGTTTAGTCTCCTGGACAAGAAAGTGCTACTTAGTCTCATACCAAGTCCAGCTACATAATATCCTGCATTGTCACTGGGCCAAGTCACTTTACCTTATCTCTTACTTTCATACAGCTGTAGTGGTAGTCAATCCAAATGGAGAGATCACATATTTACATCATGCAGAAGAGGGATAGGAAGGTGTTGTAAATATGAACAATCAGCACTCCACTGAAGCAAAATTCTGGCATTTACAGTATCAGCTAGTTCAATGCAGTCTACAACACATTTTTTTGAAAATCATCATCACAACTGTGCATCGACAACTGGTAGAACCAAGAATTGAAGGTCCCTAAAAATGAACTTGTTGTTGCTTTCTAATATTAAAAATGTCTTGCAAAATTAAATTAAAAACTCAAATCAACAATACCAGGGCATTTTAGCCTGCAACAGAAACTCAGGAATTGGAGAGAGAGATAGAGATTTTAAGGTACGAGACAAGAACAAGCCTAAAATAATTCTCCTGCTTGACATTTGCACAGATACTGTACATGAGTGAAACAGTGTCAAGAAATTCTAAAGTTAACCCGACAAGACCTATCAAGGGATCTAATAAGCTGCTCAATGAATGTCTCTTCTCCATTTAAACAGGAAAATCACATTTTGGAGTGAACAGCTATGAGAAAGGACTTTGTTTCCCATGACTTCATAAAAATTCAAAGTAGAAAACGTACAGTACCTGTTAGCTTGCTCATTTCAGTGAGAGTTTCCTGGTAGCTACTGATCATCTGACCATAATGACTGATCACTTCCTTACGGAGATTTTCCCAGTGAGGAGAAAGGTCACCCAGGTCTTTTAACTCCTGTATCCTGCAGGAAAGAGGGAGGAGAGAACAAACTGAACCTCAATATTGCATTACACAAGATAAACACGCAAAGGAGAAGAATAAAGTTTACAGTAAAGAATGGCAGGTTAGCTGGGTTGATTTCTACCCCCTAGCCTTAGTTTTAGGAATAAATACACCCAGGTGTGCCTGGAAGACACATGCTGATGCTGTCGATAGCCTGTAGTAACTCTTTGCACTTCAGGCGAAAGCAATAGTGATAATAAGCTCATTGCTGATACGGCTTGTGATCTTGAGACACAGTCAGCTGCATATTTGGAATTACAATTAAGCAATTAACATAAATATCCACTCGAATATTTAGCAAAAAAGGATATGAACATACAAGAAAAAATGTTTTCCGCTGTGTAATGATAATCCCCTCTAAACGCCTGCCTGATATTAACTGATATAAACAAATGTGCGAATGTTTATCCAAATCAAACACAAATGTTTTCTCATTTGATTTTTTTAATATCAAGTCTTTGTTAACTTTCAATTGAAAACAAAGCCCTGATTTTCTGGGGAAAAATTACTTTCCACAACTATTCACCTTTTTATTCAATGGAAGAATAATGTAATGATTCAGACATTTTGTTTTCACTTTCAGGAGGCATTACTTAAAAACCCTTAAGAAAGATACCTTTTTAATACACTGACAATGGGAATCCATTTAAATCAATGAACTGTTAGCTCACTCATTCATATTAATTTAGACACTATAAGACAGAATTGACACCAACAGCCTATGAAAGTTAGTTTAATGAGAAAAAAAATGAACCTAACGCAGTGATTGATTTCATTGTTATATTTTATTTTATTCAATGCATTATGTGTACAATTAGCATACAACTCCAATTTGTTCCAAATGAACCGTTTCCTGTGTTCATGGTGACAGTTTCTATTTGACTACTGGTATTAAGAAGGAATGCTGTGTTTGACAAATGAAGCATTCTCCACCAAACACAAACCTTTAGGAAATAAAGCCTGCCCTCAAGCTGACAAAGTACAGTATTTCTCTTAAAAGTTGTCTTAAACCACTACAGAAATGAATTTTGTTCCTCTTGCATTCTGAACTACAAAAAATGTCCTTTTGTCTGTGGCAGTCACCTTGATATTCAGCAGTGTCTTTCATCCTGTCATCTAGCATTCAGTGACCAGAAGGTACCATGCACAGTATGCTGCCATTAGTGTCAAGCGATCAATGCAGGATGTAAAGAGAATATTGTTTGTAGAGGGAAAGCTCGTACTAGGGATGTAACTCACTGTTTCTTGTTTCTATTACAATGCCATATATTCATCCTTGTCTGATCATTTCTCAGTAAGGAGTTAGACTTTGCAATAGGAGTTGACGATTGCATGAGCTTGTCCAACCTCTCTCAGATGTGATAGAAAAAAAACATTCTACATTAGCAATCATTCAATCTCATTCCATTTAGCCTAAAAAATTAACATGCTAGTCAAGGGTTGATTAAACCTGTTAAGATTCAAATGTATAGTGACTGGTAAATGTACTGTATATCATACATTTGTTTTCAATACTTTTCAAAACATTAATACAATGTGTTCTGTACAAGAAGCAATAATAATTTTACAGTTTAGAAACTGTACAGTAAAGTTTTCCCAAGTATAAATACAGTACTCGATCTATATAATATGTAAACTAACCATAGCTATTGATTAAACTTAAGTGTTTGAAATGTCTCGTGCCTATCAAACATTACTTAAAAACACAAGATATTTAAATGACATCCAATACCTTGTGATTCATTATCAATCTTGACAAACTTAATGTGCTATATTTGTAGGTTCCAAGCAAAATGCTACTCTTTTGTCAAAATTCAATATTTATTTTCCATGTACAGCAGTAAAACTAATGTCTGTTAAAATAACCCAATCATCAGTTATAATCAGTACAATTATTTGATATAATACTGATGATCAGTTTACTAAGCCTGTAATGAATGCATTTTAGGAAGCATGAGAATTAGAGTTAAAACACTGAAAGCTGTTATCACATGCACATTATTCCATTATCTTTACCCATGGATTATAACACTACTTTTGGCACTTTTAAATAACAGTAAATACAGATAAGCTGTTTTAATGTTATTGAATTTAATTTTGATGGCAACTACAGCATTACTTTCATACACATTATTTTCTTATACATTGTTTTAAATGGACCTCAACATACTTGTCTCAGTACCATCAGGATTACACTGATCTACAGTATAAAATAGATGTAAAACTAACAGGAAATGTACACTTCCTAATAACTGGCATCTGAAAATAGCAGATATATTAAGTTTTCCTTCTTCTTACTTATAGCTGATTTGTCTAATGCTGAATAATAATAGCTAGGGTGAATCCAGCCAGAAATATTCCCTCTTTCCTTTTCTCTTTATCGCCCACAGGCACAGTAAATGTCTTGTGTATATCACAGCAGGATGCTGAATCAAAAAGCAGTACTCTCTAAGCTGAACATGACACCACTGGAGTCATTCCACAATCAAAAATTAATCTTCAAGTTATGTTACTGACTATTGTGAAAGGATTTTAAAAGGCATTTTTAAAAACAATTTCATTCTACAAGTTGGCTAATAAACTGTCATTTAAGTACAGAAACCCTAGCTTAGATAAATCTCAGATCCACGTTTCTCTTACATTTCACTCAGTCTTGCAACCTCTGAAAACACTATTTCATTCACGTTAAGGGTAAATGAATGATATTTTATAGAATTGCGGAAAAGATGATGCCCTTGGGCAACCTATGGCTTTTTCTGAAGGATTGAAGAACAGTGAAAGGTTTATACCAAGTGGATTAACATAAATGGGAGCTTATCTGACAAGTCCAGGTGGGTTTTACTTTCAAACAGTTTAGAAAACACTTCTGATAACGTTATTAGTAAAAGCCTGAGTTCCTTTAATTGTTTGCAAATTTGCATACAGAACAATTAAAAAATCCTCACATACTGTAAATATAGATTGAAAAGTATCAGCTTTGTGCTCCTAAAAATCAAAACACATTCCTGCGCACCACTAGTGTGTAAGACTGTTGCTGTGTAGAATCTCTTACTGGTGTGGGAACATACTTTAACACAAAAGTTTAGTTCTTATACAGTATGTCCATCACCATCATCAACAGATAGATATTTTTTACTTATTATACCAGAGTGTCACTGGTGCTCCTACCTTCTAAGTAGGCTTAAATATAATTCACACTTGACAGGAGTTTCTGGGATGGACTCCCCCAGTCCTCTGAACCAGCAATCAGACCATAGACAAAGCTTCCCTCAGAACTTAACCTTAAGAGTACAAGGGCTGCACTACAATCTCAACTGTTTTAGTAGTAAACAACACCACCATCATCATGGGACACTATTTGTATTTACACTTGCATTTAGGTGGGATAAAATACAGGGAGGTTTCATGTGAGAGAACATAAACCGCTTTTTCTTTAAAATATCTAAATGTGGTGCTGTTTTAAACACAAAGTACAAGTGTTTGGCCCCTATGAATACCAGCTATTCACTTTGTAAAGACACTATATAGTGTTATAATTGCCATCAATGTTTTGATTATTATGGTGTATAGAAATCACTTATTTACATTGTAATTCTCAATTCCCATTCCCCAAATGAAATTTAACAATATCTGGTGAACCAAATACTGTATAGTACCATGCAAGTGTACTATGTACACCAGCTTGATTTGAAAGTTTATTCTTACATACAGTATGGAAGTAGTTTTAATTGGCATTTATATATTTTTTCCGTGTGCAGGATTATGTACCATACAGGTCATGGTTAGCTGCTATTTTTACAATAGTATTAACACAACACGGGCAAAAAATCATTATTCCAAATGAATTAGCTGTTTTTATCTCTACAGCAACTGAGCTGTATTGGGCTGTATGACTGCTCCTCCAGCGTCTGGACCTAGAAATGCTCACGTTGTGGTTTAAAGCCTTGAATGAAGAAAATTACCAAGCATCTCAAGTGTGCTTGAAGACAGCAGGGGGACTTGTGGCCTCCAGGGAGAAGCCAGTCACAAATGAAGGGTTCAGAGGGAGCTATCTGATGACAACAGGACTACTAGTAACTAAAAAACATTAACTTTTCCTTCTCAGGTCTGAGGACAACTCAACCGGTATCTTCAATGACAGACCAACAGATCAGAGAGTTGAATATGAAGAAAGCATTTGGTATTCTTGTTCTGTAATGTGTAAAAGAGCTTTATTAAACTAAATATGAAAAGACCAAAATAATTGTCATAAATAAGACCTGTGAGCTATACTGGTTTGACTACACAGTTTAATCAAATGCACATTACAGAGCACTGCCTGTCTGCTTCAGACTGATGTTTTTTATTATTCCAGAGGACGAAAGGACTTTCAGGCTACTCATAAGCACCACATCTCCTATCTTGGCACTGGTGAAGCCAATAAAGAATTCAAGGACTGAAGTCTTTTAAGCTCTACTTCAGAACTACTTTTCAGAACTATTCTTCATTTTTCTACTCTTAGTAATGTGATTACAATTATTATATTTGTTTGTTTTGAGTATGTTTTGCTTAGCAATCAAAATTGTTTTAGTATTTAAAATTGAACCCAAAATTGTACTAAAAAAGTTTAAAAATTTGAAACAGGAAATTGCTTGCAACTCTCTTCTAAGGTAAAATCAGTGTTTAACTTATGCATTTTTATTATGGAAGACATGCAACTCCCTTTGACCTTTGATATCATAATGTGAAAGATTTTAATTAAAGATGCTAGATAGCATTTAATAATCATAAAACAATAACTATAGTTTATGCTCAGATTCCACTTAAAGTAATGAGTTACTTTATAAGTGTCCCATTATTTGGTAATTGATGGAAGCATATGATGCGCAAATCAGAAGTTGTAGAAATAAATATCTAATTAGACCACTGTATTGTTTTAAGCTGAGCATGAATAAAATAGATGAAATTAACATTTGCGCT